CCCCCCCCCAAAAAAAAAAAAAAAAAAAAAAAAAAAAAAACATGTTTTTCAACGAGTTTTAATATTAAATGAATATGAATATACACCCACTCTCACCATGTCTCTTCATTATCATTCAAAGCCAACTGAAATACGAACGACAAAGTTTGTTGTTGTTTTTTTCATGAGATTGTATCGGCATATTAATTTATTAAATCTAATATGCAATTTCAAAGGGACTCCACTGAGTGTATTGCTTTGTTTATTTGTTTGTTTGTTTTCTGACATGACGGGAATGGAAATATTTTCCCGAGTTTTTTTTACAATTTGATGTATGTCTGGTCTCAAGCAAAGTTTCAGATCATTCCCTCATTCCGTATTACAGAATAATCTTTTTGTTTTTCTGCAAAATGTCTTAAAAAAGAAAAGCTTTGCAACGATTTTCACTCGAATCAGACAAGGAGTCACAAAGAAAATATTATATTTGATTTTGAGTATATTTCTCTATAATAATTATACTTTGCAGTTTTTTGTTCCATTTCAATGCAAGCATTTTAAATTAATTAAGACTTTTTGATCTCATTGGAGCTCCTTTAAAAAGTCAGTGCTCGGTTGGACTCGTCTAAGTTAACAAACGAACATCATTATTTTTTATTAAATCTGTTACAAATCTTGGTTTTTGAAATTGATATACCCTTTATACATGTAACTGATTGTTGTTGTTTTTCTTCGGAATTTTTTTATCCACAGTAATTTTACGTACCATTTTAATACATGGGAATTGCCACGTTGAGAAGAACATCAGCAGAAAGGCGATATATAGAATTGTTCCAGTGACACAACATACTAATATCAAAATTAGAACTGATTTCTTTACACACAATTTCTGCGCAATATTTTCCACTCCATATGAACAATATTCGGTCCCACAGTCTTGGCAAAGGAATTGGTCAAACGTTACATACAAATAGCCTTCGTCACACATTTCCATGCAGTATCCATCCGACAGCACAGGTTTGTTACAATCTTCAACTTTTATACAGTTTTTACCATCTGCGACCATTGTAGGTCCACATGATGAAACACAAATAGACCGATTTCCGGTTTTCATTATGAAAGGCTTATCAGCTGGACATGTCCAATTTAGTTGTGAATAAATTGATGGCTCGTCATTGAATGTAATCCGTGTCTGCAAAGAAAATACAAATAAAATATACATATAAAAATTTTTTATTTTAATATTATATTATTAAGTTCAATGTTTGAATACCGCTTTAAATACATATAAAATAAAAACATTATGCCAGTGAGAGATTTCAATGATAGAAACACACTGTACTTGGATAGAGTCCTGTTTTCTGAAAATAATAAATTTAGCGATCTGGAATTACTTGGGAAAAAATACAGATAATACAATACCGTAAATCATTTCTATTGTAATGCATGTCTATTATCTATATATCTATTTCACAATGTGTACTCAGATGTAATATCCACACAACAATTGACATAAACTTTTAATTTTTCAATGACTCGAATTTTACATTATAAGATATGACATTTGTTTTCGTATGACATTTTGAAGTTATCACACAATTTTGAGTACAATACTGATTCTATTGGACTCGTAAACAGCTGCAAAACCTATATCAGATTCTGTTTGTGCCTCGTCTAATATAGGTTTTAAAGTTGTGTACTCATTCAATAGAATTCATTATTATAAATTGATAAATCTAACCTAACAACAATCTGTATTTGTGCCTCGTGACCCTCCAATATATTCCATTATTTGATCCAAACAAATATATATTATTTTCATATTTGACGGTTGGGTACATGTGCAATAAACGACAGTGCATATATTTTGACGTGACGTCATTTGGTTATGTAAACATAGCGATCAGATCTAGACGCGCTAAATGTTACCGTCATACTGATGTCAATGTGATATTTGAGGTACAATGACCTCTTGGATGTCAATATGCATTTTATATAGATATTTTGGACTCCAAAAATTGGAACGAAACTATAATGGGTAAATATGCATTTGATATAAATATTTTGAGCTCTGAAAATGGGAACAAAACTATATTGGTTACAATATGCATTTGATATGAATTTTATTTGGACTCTGGAAATAAAAAAGAGGCTTAACGAATAAGATTCGGTCCAATACTGATTTCTATCAGCATCGGAACATCACGTGGTTAACACGCTGAAGGTTCATTGGTTATAGTCTATAAGGTGTGAAACAAAACCTTCTTATGAAATGACTGTTCAAAGCAAAATGATTCTCTGGCTAGCTTAAGTGCATTTTCTTTCGAGGACTAGTTTATCTTAAATTAATTTGATAAGGACAGACATTTATATATCGTTATAACACATTACTAAATTAAACAACCAAAAAGAATAAGTTTACAGTCTTATTTTCATTTATAAACATCGCCCCGCTTTATATTGAGCAAAAGTGCCGTCATATTGAACACACGCGTGTAATGATAGAAGTACATGTATGTTATTTTAGAAAACACAGAAAAATCATGTAAAAGAAAGCACTTATTTTAAAATGATTTCTGGAATAATTCAAAAAGTCACATATCATTTAAACGAACTATACATATCATTTGAACGAACTATAAAAAATACAATTACAAGAACTTACGGTAGTTATAGAGCATACCCAGATAGCAGACAGTAGTTGGCCCAACGTTGGGCCAATTACATTTGCTTTGTTGGCCCAACACATAATGCCAACGTTGGCCCAATGTCAATTTGCTAATTGGGGCAACGTTGGGCCAACGGTTGGTATATGGTTGGCCCAACGACTGCTTTCCTACTCTTATCATTGACCCTCCATTGGCCAAATGACTGGTTTTCCTTCCTATCGTTGGCCCTCTGTTGGCCCAACAACTGGTTTCCCTTCTTCTTGTTGGCCCCCGTTGGCCCAATGACTGGTTTCCTACAATAAACATTGGCCCTTCGTTGGCCCAATGCCTTGTTTTCATAAAAGAACAAAATATATACTAATTACTACAATTTATTACTAAATGTTGTTCACATATCATTTTCATTTTCTTCTCTTTGTTGTTGCAACTTTTTAGTCAATCTTTTCCTCCGCCCGCCTTCCCTATCCTTGGCATATCTTAGGCACTCCTTCATTGTCTTCTCGATTTCATTATTAGTAGACCCCTGTCTTCTTCCTCTTACAGCATCTGAAATTTATACAGTTTACTGATTTTATTTAAATATACACTACTAATTATAATTTACTAGTAAAAAAGCACATAAATCTGTCAAAATGCAAATAGAGCTAAGGGGATGAGACTTTGATAGTAAAGAAATATTTTAAATTACAAGTCAATTTTAATAGTAACAGAGATATTTGAAATAATTAAAAATTTTAACCTAAAAATACAAATAGAGTTATGATGATCATTTACAACACAAGAGTCACATCTTACACCCACGGTGTAAAATAATTTTCTAGCACCGGTGAAATCACCTTTGAAAAAGTAAAAATACAAACCTAATATGACTTTTTTAAGTCTAAGTTTTTCGAATGTTTTTTTTTAGCCTTTTCCAACCCAGTTGTATTCTAGAGCAACTTCCTGAGACAAAGTGTGAGACATAACAAGGCGAACAATGCTCTCCCAATTAGACATAAATTTGCTGTCTGAAATGAAATAAAAACAATTTTTGCAGTCGGGTAAAGTAATTTGTGTTTAATGCGAAATTACACTTCAAATTGAATTTACACAAAGTTTCGTATACACTCTACTGCAATGAGTGGTGTAACTGTTAAAAAGTCTAGTAACAAAGCAGAATTTTGCAAATAACTCATAATCAATTATATGCAATTACCTATTTATACTCAGAACAGATTGTATGAGCTTAACACTGCAGTGCTAATTGTAGCTTGTCAGTTTTTACTAACTTGCATTTTTTTGCAGTTAGCACAATAAATTCAGATGTAAAACTATAAACATATCATATTTTAAGCTGATAAACACTGATATAATTAAATGGTTTTAATTTCATTACAAAAATCAAATTCATTCTGGCTTGTTTACCTGAAAACATCAAAGTATTTTCCTTTACCAATCCGCCATTTTGTATTAATCACATGACCTGGTCACGTGGATAGTATAACAGGTTTTAAAACACTAATTCCGTGCAGGTTTAAATACATTACTATATTAGAAGGGTTTATTTAAAAGATTAAAGTAAAAATAACTCTAGATCTACTTACATTTTTCAGTGTTGAGAAATTGCAGTCTAATACAAATTTATTTAGATCTATCTCTAAACACGTCCACGCAGCTTCGAAATCAAGCGAGGGAAAGGATGGGTAGTGCCAAAATGATCCTAGTTCCATTTATTGATAACATAACCAGAGGTTAATTAGAGTTCAGAGTGGAATATTCCGGAGGTTTATTATGGTTATTCCAGCACATGTATAATTGCTTTAGATTATACATCAGATCTTCAAGATTTCTATAGATCTATTGATACATATTCCCTACTACTGCATAGCCTGGGCTTTGGTCATTTCTAGACTCAAAAAGTAATTATTTCTTACATTTCTCATTTAATTTATATGAGTATTTCTTGAATGTGACAATATTGAACATGACTTCAAAAAAACTTTATAAACTTTAGTCTTTACTCATTGTAGTGTACTGTTTATATACAGTAAAATATCTACATGCATATCTGTCTTTAAAAAAAAAAATTGGGTCAGGTGCAGTCATATATTTGACGAAAATGTATCGTTTGTCAAACGTTGGCCCAACATCTGTTTTAAAGTACATATTTATCGTTATTGGGCCAATGCAGAAATGTCGCTGGCGTTAACTTATGGTTGGTTCGATGTTGGGCCAACAACTTCATTTATAGTACATGTTAATTAGAGTTGGACCAACCATGGCCCAACAACGATTTTCCTATGACGTTTTTCCGTGGTTGGCCCAACCACTGCATGTTTACAGGGTATATATCCGACTAAACAAGCAGCGAGCAGTAAATTTCGACACGCCATTATTGACATTTGGAAGCACGCTGGCATTTCCGTTATCTATTTTTAGAATTAATTTCATTTTCACAGACATATAGCTGTGTAATCATGGCTACGAGTACAGAAAATAATTCAGAATATTCTGCAAATGATTGTCGTGATCAGGATTTAAAAGCTAAGATACCAGCTTTACCCGAAGGTAAAATAAAGCATTTCTTTGTTTCTTACACCAGTTTAGACAGAGAACGTGTTCATTCAGTAATTGAGGACGTCGAAAAGAGATTTGGTTTACAGTGTGTATTTGATGAACGGGACTTTCAGGGTGGGAAGGATATAACAGTAAATATACGAGAAGGAATGATGTCTTCATTAAAGGTATTACTCTTTCTGACACCAAATTTTCTCGAAAGTGGTTGGTGTAAGTATGAAACTGACGCCGCATTTATAAACTCTATGGGTTGTGGCTATAGCTGTATTGTGCCTGTATTGCTAGAAGAGTGTGAGATACCGCCTACACTTGTGGCCTTGACCTACATTGATGCAACTATTCCGGGATTAGATGTGCCAGCCAAAATTGCAGCTTCACTCTTACGTCCTGGTATGTCTTATGAATAAATGTTGTATATAACGAAAGAACACTTATATCTTAATAATTTAAATTCTTACAACTACATGTATTAAATTATACCTATTTACCTTAACATATTTTACAGAGAGCATCCTTAATTTTGACAAAGATTGGATTAATAAAAAGTAAGGTTTATTGAAATGTATTGAGGTCTTTTAATTGCATGGAGTAGTCCAAAAGTAGTGCGAGCATATAATGTACTGTATGAGTCTTCCCCTTCATTAACTAGAATATTGTCTCCTTTAATGATAAAATAGGAAATATCAATTTATTTCTATAGCCTAATCCTTTAGTTCTATTGTGCGTGTATCTTTTATGTTCATGTAAGCCTGATAAACTTTACTGCCGCCAGTATCTATATGCCATAGTGCGTGTAAACATAGTCGTGCTTATTTTTTAACGCTTCTTTACCTGTGAAGACGAACCCATTAAATATAAAAGCAATGATTTTACTTTGTAAGTCAGTCTTCTGTTATAAAGTATGCTTAATTAGATATTGTTAAAGAGAAAAAATCAATTTCGATCATTTTAATTGAAAATTGCATCGTCTGCTATTGAGGCATAATTATACTTTTATACAAGAATAGCGCTTATGCATAAACCAAAAGTGTAGCTTTACACGGATTATATACATTTAACTTTACTTTTCTAAATCTTACTTAACCTGTTTATGTCCCTTTTTGTGAGCAATTACATTTGTAGAAGCCTTCGGACTTCTTAGAATCTTGTGCTTCTGCAGATGTTAATGCGCGAAAAATGTGCAGTGAAATCTCTACTGTTGATCTATTCCACTTGCATATCTAAAGAAATCGAACTTTGCAGAAGTAAGTTAAGAAACTGCAGCATGCTGATAAAAACATGCAATCTTGTATGAAGATTAATTGGGTACCCTGCCGTAAACGGCATTTAAAGTCCTTCCAAACTTTAAACTTTCTTTCAACAGACATAATTCCTGAAATCTAACATATGTCAAAACATATTATTTCAGAACAAATGTTGTTTTACACGGGTTATATGCATTTTACTTTACTTTTTAAAATCTTATTTTACATTTTTATCTAGCTACCGATGACGGTTTATTCTCTCTCAACATTCGGGCTTTTAACAAACAATGTAAGTTAAACCTTTTAAATAAAAGTTTTATATAGACATGTCTCTTTTCCAACAATAATTTATTATAATTTAGTTTTCATTTTCAAAGATTCATTTTGACATATTCATTATTAAAACTGATACATATATCTTAATCAAACTTAATATGTAAACCAAGACAAACTAAGAAATAAGGATTAGCATCAAGATCAAATTTATCATCTCATATATTCTCCACTGTTAATCCTCATGGAATGGATATTTAATATTAACGTGATAAAACTGGACTTAAAATAACATGTTTATAAAAATCTTAATACATCTTTTGTTACACGTTTTTACGTGTTCTGTGTAAAGTGTTAATATCAGGGAATAAAACTTTGCCTAAGCATGAATGAAATTATATTATCATATAAATTAAATGTACATATAAATAATGAATATTTAGATCCAATATATTTAGATCAAATATCACAGATATAACATTATTTATATTTCAAGGCATTAACTTAAATACAGAAATATATGCAAATAATATCAAATCGATTCAAATCGATGAACTGTCATTTAATATTTATACATTTTAGACGAGAATGGTTATTGTTTTATAATTCCGGCTGTACGTGATAACTTAATAAGTGTCGTCAGACCTGCCAAATACAGATTCTTAATTGATGATAACATCATAGAAAAACTGAAGGAAAACAAGGTTGAGGTATGTCTTTATCCAATGATTATAATCGCTAAAAGCAACTGTATCATAGTTTGGAGACCTTACTGTTAAAAATGTGTTAGATTTAGACCGTGCTATAGAACGTGTTTTTATGTTTGACTATGATACAAAAGAAAAAAAGATCAAAACACTCGGCAATCTGATTTATACTCGGAGCTACGCCCCTCGTACATATCAGATAGCCTCGTGTTTCGATTCTATCTAATTACATATTTTATCCATTCAGTTTGTTGCCATTTAGGTTTATTTATTTTTTGTATCTTTAACCTCTAAAGTAAATCCCTTACAAAAAGCTAAAACTCATGTTCACTATGTTGTAAGTCAGAGTTTCACAACCAGTGTCCATGAGTTTTATAACCACTAGGCCATCTCTCACCTTTTGATACTAAATTAAATTTATATTCATTGCCCTGAAATATAACGAAAACTTTAATTCTCTTTTTTTCAAATTTCAAATTCAAGGACAGATAACTCGAAAATTAGGTCGATTACCCTAATCATTTTTCGCTAGAAAACAAGTCTGTTATTATAATTTTACAAGTAGCTTAGTTTCAATTAATTGTATTAAACAGTTTTCATTCTGCTATGTGTCTATGCAACCCTAGCATACGGTTATAAATCAAATGTCTTAAATGCTTTAAATCATTAACATAAAAATAAATGTCCATTTAATTATAACAGTATTAGATATTAAACACACGATTGCTAAAAAATATTCATGTCTAGACCCCCTTGGTGATATTTAAGTATTTATTGTCATTTTAATGTTGCTGATAGCGAGCAAATGTTCCTCTAGTTATGCTGATATATACGGAAGGTGAAAACTTGAAAGTACGAACTGCGAAAGCACGTAAGGCTATTAAGAAAACGATTAAAAAAATACGAAAAAAACAATGATGAAGATTTGAAGACACGATGACAAAAATGCGATAATTATCGACCGTTATATAACTTGAGTCTGCGTTTTTTTCGTCGTGTCTTTTAATCTTCAGCATTGTGTTTTCGCATTTTCGTTCTCGCATATTTTTGCGTTTTCGTCTTCGTATCTTGTTGTTTTTTTGACAATTTGTGTTTCAATTATTTTCGTCGATAGGCGATGCCCCTAACCAGATATTAATACTTTGTTTTTGTTTAAATAAAAACTGTTAAATTCTGTTAAGGTACGATTTGATTATCACTGGAAAATTCTTCAGCGATATTCAAAATTTCAAAAAATACCAAATGGTGGCACATATACGGTGGTTTCTATAATTGCATTATATGAAAAGATTTTTCAATCGGAACGTCCTAAGCTGTTATTTATAATAACATTGAGGTCAATACGGATTGAAAGTAGTTGTACCACATGGTTTCAGATGTGAGCGTAATCCTAGATAATGTAAAACGAATGTTTATAGTTGACATCCAAAGGAAAATAAAGTCTGTTTCGATACATTTGTGTTTGAAAACCGTTTTTAATTTAAATATGCTCACTGACGTACAATTATGATCAAATCGGACTTAATGTCAACACGTTGGCATTTTGTACTTTCGGTTCCTACAACCATGATATCATTAAGTACAAAACATTACACTGTTGTTTTTTTATACTTTTGTATCTAAAAATTCAGTAAATTTAGGTAAAATTATGTTATCATGGTTAGTTTCTTAGCGTAGGTATGACCGAAATACCGTATCTGTTCTGTGTATTCTTACTATTGTGTTCGAGGTACTTATTCGGAAATTAACGGAAAGGGCTGAAAAGTTGCAATAAATGTTTTTCGAACAAAGAAATCTGATGTAGTTAAAGATAAACAAAATGTTTTAATCGTGCAATGAATAAATAATAGTTTTCTCAACAACCAAAGAGGAATCCGAATATGTGTATGCAATGTTATTCTTTTCCTTATTCCAGGTTCCAGAAAAGCTGTTAAAGTCGACTGTCGATATTGTGAACAAGGACAGTATTGTGTGCTCATACGATTATCTCTACCGGCGTAAAAACTTTGCATGGACGTTTTTTCTGCTACCACTTTTAGCGTTGATCATTGCAGTTTATGAAGCGGCATGGGTTTTTGGTACTGCTACGAGAGGAAGGGAAATTAAACTTTCACAACTTGGGATCCTATATACGATAATCACTGGCTTTATTTGTTTATTTATATTCATTCAAATAATGATTTGTTTCTTGCCAATTTGCTGTCATAGGAAACAGGTACGTTACACTAATTGTTTGCTTAAACACTTAAAGAAGGACTCTTTTTTATTCCGAAGTACTTTTCATGATGATATGCTGATTTTTTATAAAAAAAAATATAATTTTATTGTAAATTCATCAAACGATGAATTCTTCAGAATGCACATTATAAAATATACAAAAAAGCACATAATGAACACAGTTCAATTTCTTAAACAGTAATGTATCTTATTCCGATGTAATTACTTTTAGATAATAAATATATAATTAAAATGTCTTCTTTTCAGCGGGATTTCTCTCTACAATCCAAACTATGGCGGAAAGTCGGTAAAGAGTGTATTGAAAATAACGTTTTACTTTTGTTCACTGGAAGGAGGAACAAGAAACCATCTTTATCCTTTTAAAAGATAATTTAATGCATGTTTTTTATACGATTTTGCTATGCCAATTATGGCCGATAAATGCTAATATTTTTATATTTCTGAAAATATCGTTATTTTTTTTGGTGTGTTTTAAAAATTTCTTTAAAGTTGTTCACTGGCCAATAACATTAAAAGCTTTTGTTTTATGACCTTCCGGGGGTCAGTGGGTCTGAAAAAATAGCTTGTTTTAAAAGACGTTACTCAATGGAACTCTCTTCCTATGTCAAAAATATTTAATCTTTTGAAAACAGTGTCATTGAGCATGTTCTAAGTCAATAATATTTTGATAAAGTCATTTATACTTGCATGTAGATAGATTCATAACCTAAGTATAAAAGTAACTTTTAAACGTTAAAAATGTGATAACTATTTATCTTTTTTCAATGTTTATCTTTTTTGAAAGTCACACATTTTTCACAAAATACAAAATAGTTTGGCTAAAAATTATATATTGAAAGTCACTGTTACTAAATTATACTTAATATCTAGTTTTACAATAATTTATTGCATACATAAATATATATCATTGTTATATATTTCTATACAATATACATAGGGTTTTAATGTTCTGAGGCCCTCACCTGTAACTTGTACACATCAGTTTACAATTGCTTTCATAAATAATGTTTTAACTTTTGATTTTCACTTTCATATGAAGCATGTGTATTCTATGTCTTCCTTACGCTCGCTTCGCATCTCACTGAAAACACGTGAGCGATAGTGAAACATTCGGCCGATGCGCAGGAGAATATGTCTTCCTAACCTTACGTTTAGCTTTATTATTGTTTACTTCTATGTTTCTTTTTATCAAATAAATAAAAAAGCTTTTAACATAGTTTGACTGTTGACTCTTTGACTGTATTCAGCTCCTTGTAATGAGATACAACATAGCAAGATGTAAGGTAATATTTAATCATCTGTACATTTTGTGTATATAATTTTAATATACTGTATATATACTAGATTATTTTTATAGCTTTTATAATACTTTATGAAAGTTCAATGTTCACAGCTCCCATTATGTAATTTATTTTATTTCTTATCAAAATAGTATTTAATATAATTTATATACTTTTAAATGTGAAGAAATAAATAGCAGAACGGGAGCTGTGAACATCGTACTTTGACTTTGTTTCGTTTCTTTATATCTTCAACCATGACAATTGCTGTATGCCCCCTTATCAAATATTCAAATTACAATAAGATAAGAACTTATTGTTTCGTTAACTGTTCCCAGTACCAGCGTCCGCGTCCAGTTTTTATATTTAATGTTTTTGCTATAACTTTTATCATTATTGCATTACTTACAAGTAAATAGTATAGGCTTTTGTTCTCCCGAAACAAAAATTTCTGTAAATTTCTGTTGGTGATTTCTGTTATGTAATGTAATAATGTTGGACATTTAGGCTTTGCTTTATAACGATCAAGATATAAACTTATCATATTGTTTTAACTTTCTTACTGCGTCAAGTATATATTTTGTCGAGCATGTTGTCTCCTTTAAAATAGTACAAAGGTAAACGTATAAATTATCTGTGTATCTTTGCAACATTGATTTAGTTTATCCTTTTTCTATATATTCCTTTCAGGAGTACTTTGTTGGTATTATCAAGTCAAGGAATATTACACCGACCGATCAGACATTAACACCCGAGGTAAAGCATTTACTGAGATCACCATGATGATTTTAATTTAAAAATATGATGTAGACGAAGGCTAATTCAAATGAGTTTGCAATGTTCATTCTTGAAACAACATTATTCTCTTCTTTCGTTATTTTTTTTTATTTGTTTTGTATAATAAGACTAACAGTGTGGATAGTGATAACGATAATGATTTACATATGTTAATTATTTTGAACTAGATAATTTAAGTGGATTTGTCTACAATGAGCGGATTTTCTTAAGTATTTGAAATATTACTAATTACAATAGAAATGTTTACATTTCAATTTCTTATAAAATGTTACGAAAGACTTGTTGATAGAGTTCTGAGTGATTTGGTATGAACATTTATTTGATGAATAATAATTTGTTCTAGAATATTTTATTATCCGCTATATAAATATATGTTATAACGGATTATGTATCTAACACTTGCCAGCACCATTCAGATGAAATTCTGTTGCGGCTGATACTAAATATTATCAACGTGATTATTTACTGTATTACAATAGAGAAAGTAAACACCCCTAAAGATAGCCCCACACGGCAAAATTGAAAATGTTGCAGGCTCGGTTTGATTGAGCCTGTTCATGGACAAACAAACCTTTCTTAATAGACCAATTCAATTAAAAAAAAAAAGATTTTCCCTATACATTTCTTTCGGGAGCATTAATAGAATTTCTGATGAATTAGATACTGAATGTATTAGTGCACCTACATTGTATTTTATATAATTTTATACATATTGGCGATTGGTGCCCCTTATGGATAGCTTTACTAAAGGTATATGATCCATGATTGCCATACTTTTTTAAAATTCATTTTATGTAATTATGATTTTATTACATAATATTAAGCCAGGCTTATTATGTGAGAACATATTTGGAAGCTAATCCTAATTTAACCTTGAGAAGCCTTATCATTTTACTTGTTCTTCTGATTTTTATACAAGCAATCGACATTCTATCAGATTTTTTCTGATTTACATACGTCTAAAACTGTCATTCACAATTGTCAATATAATTATATAGCATGAAATGTTTATTTTCAGAGTTATGCAGATATGTTAATTGAAAGACATCTGGAGCAAAGTCTTCATTTCTTGGCAGACGATTTTGATTTCCTACCAGACGCGCCATACAATCGTCACAACGTAAAAAAAGGGAAAATGTGCATTTGTCAACAACTTGAGCAGGATTTGTAAAGATAACGCCGTATTCCTTTAACTTACATGTATATCAAAGTGATTTCCCTTTGATCTAGACAGATATTATAACTATTGACTTACAAAGATTATTGAATGTTATGAAATGTGAATTTAAAAGAACTCTCAAAATTGGTAACTTCAATTGTTATCTCAAGAATTGACAGATATTCTACTCGATACTGAACTTGAAATTATGTATACAAGGTGTATATTGACATCATTGGAAGCAGACAAGATTGTGAAAGTACAAAGAAAATCATGATCAAAAAGCAGATTTTAAAGCAGTTCAAACACTGCAAACACTACAGCACAATTTGAAATAGAAATGTAAAAACAGTCAGAGAAGCATGTTAAACATTTTATCACGCGAAACATGTTGAGAAATATAAGAAAACAGGAAAAAAATATTAACATGAACTGCACGATTAGAAGTACATAAAAGTTATATTTGTAAATTGAAAAATCGCACAAGCATTATAACATCAAGCCATAACAATGTGTTTTCTGTACAAAGCGAGATATCAGATTCATAGCAGACAAAAGTGTAACATTTAACAAAACTCCAAAACTATCAAAAGTAATAAAAATTCTATGTTAATATAAAAACAGGAGTAATGTCTTTTATTGTGAAACAAAGAAATATGATAAGACCTTGGTGTATAGCCCTTAGATGTATGTGATGTTAGATTTGTACCTGTTCTTATGATTGCATATCTTCTCTTTTTGGTCGTATGTTCATATTTTGGAACTCAATCTTCTGAAAATAATGTACAATAACGCAAAACCATTGTCTTATCATGTATACGTTTTGCTAAGCCATTGTCATTGAATTTAAGTTGGATACATATATATGGAGATTACAGCTATTGTGTTTGTATGCTAGACCATGGCGTGCTTGTATTGGTAGTCTTAAAAGACAAACAAATTTTATATTCAAATTTATTTTCAAAAATTTATAAAAATGACCTTGTCAATTTAAAATGTTCAGACTTTAAGACTGTCATGGTGTTGAACATAAAACCATCTGTCATGATCTTATAAAATAATATATTTGTATAATAGTGTAAGTATTTTGTTTATTCTAGCATGCAAATAATGGAATATATAACCGACGTATGAATAATTTCAATAAAAAAAACAGAAATGTATATTCATTATATTTTAAACTGAATGATGTTCAATATTGTGCATCGTCCCTTTCATAAAAATGTATCACCAACCAGTCTGTAAAAGCAATTTGCAAAACCCGCGTCCAATTATTCTTTCATTTCATGAAAATATTTTTTTTTTTTAATTTGTCTAAAAATAAAACGATGATAACAAGTACACTAATTTTGCAATAAATAATAATGACAATATTATTCAATAAAATGTGTACACAATATTTAGCATAAAGTCACAAATTCAGAACTAAATCACAACAAGTGACGAAATAAACAAAAAGTTATATCGTAAAATAGATATATTTAAGTTGTGCAACAAGAAAATATTTTTCTATTAGTTTTTGTAACACGAACCACGTTTAAGACGAAACATTTTTGTTAAAATGGTGGTTCAAAATTATGCTCTTGCAGAAAACCTCATCACACTGATTTGTTTTCCATTTCACATGAATACTAAAACTTAATCTATTCGGGTGATGACATAAGCCGTTTGTAACACTCCATTCTTTGCAGTCACGTTCATCTCCTTGGTCACGTTCATATTTTTGCCAAAGTATCATACCTTTTAGTCAAGTACTTTACCTCTATACTCACGTTTATATCAATCACAAATATTCTAAATGCTGATAAGACTCAAGCGAGATCCATTTTGTAAAAAATAAAATATGAAATCACCACAGAAAAATATACTATGTATTAACTTTTTGCTTTAACTGTTCTATACATGTAGCTTGCTTTGCCTTGTTTTTTCCTTTTATCCGCATATCCGAACATGGTTCCATTATCATCTACCGATATAGACTCAACGACAGAAAAAAGTCTTGAAGTTGAAAATTTAGCTACATGTTTTCTCCCTTCGGCATCGGTTAAAAGTTCTTTGATATCCTGAAATTAAAATATTTTCAAGTAGTTTAATAAAAAGGGGCAACAAACCAAATTGGCTTCACGGTTATCACAAATAAAAGTCATCCGGAATTGGCTAATGTGAGTTTGTCCGCCAGAAAGTATAAAAAACGTCTCGAAAGTTATAACAAAATAAAAGTTATAGGCAATTCCTGTATATACGTTGTATTCTGAAGCATAACATTTAAGTAAAAGGACAAATATAAACAATGCGGTATTTTACGCATGACTGAATAATTCGCTCAGTAACATTACCTCTGGAAAGCCTTTTTCAAGATACAACGTATTATCAGCCAACTTATGATGTATTCGTTTGGAATCCATTGCCTCTTGTAAGGGCATGTTCAGCAACAAAACTTTTGCCAAAACCTTCAATAAAATAAAATTGATTAAATTACAAATAACTTATTACATTGACAAAGAATATATTTCATATTCTTGCATATGAATCATTTAAAATAAAAAAAAAAGTTAAAATGTAATTTTTTATGTACAAACTGTTGCCTAAATGGCGTGCATGTTGCTGGTAATTAAAGTTGCATGTCTAAAGATGAATAAAAAAACTGGAGAAAATCTAACTTGTTTACTTAGACTACAAGAAAAAGCTTAAAGTAACGATTTGCGTTCTTTTGTTTGATTATTGCCTGATTTTACTGTATTTATCACCATATATCTACTGCGTGACTAAAGCAATAAGAGCTATTTTTGCATATTTTAACCCATTTTTGGTGGTTTGCATGGATTCTAAATTTCGCTTGTGACGTGTAAATTACTTTCTTTGTTCATTTCACACAAAGTGTTGCTTTTAAATACATTTTCTACTTTTTCATGAAAATAAGCATGAGTCTGAAGGCATGCTACTTTAAGATAGCTCTTATCAAGAAAGATGTGTGTGAGTAGACTGTAATGAAACTTAAGTTTGTACGAGTAAACAATGGGTCGATCTCATCCTCATCATCTAAAGATTCACTCCTTTGATGTTATATTTAATAATTTGTGTACTTTATAAACTTTAGACTTCATTTCAACCATACGTAATATGTTGAATATCAAAATGATTCAACAAGCCGGTGTATGATGTTCCTGAGAAAGTTTCATGGAAATGAACATCTACTTTTTTTGTATATTACATTTACGTTAAACTTTATAGGTTGTATAACATATTATATCGTTTTGGCTTTAATATCAAATGAATATTTATAATAATATCTAATTAAAGAAGAAAGATAATCAATGGCTTTTTTATCAATAAATTTAACACCGACCCTGTTAACAATCGTCTAATACGCAGTCAAGGCTTAGTAATTTATATAATCTATATAAAGAAGTATTGGTACCTGAGCAACTGTTGTAGCGATATATGATCCTCCCGCCCCGCCTGTAACCATTTTGACATTATCTTCATTATCGACGACGATAGTTGGTGCCATCGATGACCTTGGTCGCTTACCTGGTTCCAATCTATTCACCTTTGTTGGCTACAAATAAAACAGGGATGTTAATTAATTAATTAATTAACATAGATAAACTGATTAAGTATCGACTTCATATTTTTGTTCCGTGTCATCATTTACTTCCAGAATTAGCCCAATTGTTTCATGAGAAATCAATTAAGTATTACTTTTCTCCTCTTTGAACCGAACATTTATTTTGAAGAACTGTTTAAATCTATCAGAGATCTAGGCTTACATTTTAATAGTTTTTCACAAACTGTATACCTCATAATGTTCGTAGTAGTCTATAAGAACTTCAACTCAACTCATCTTTACTTCGTTGTTTTTAAACGTTTTAATTATTTATTATGTCATACTACGTTTAAATATGTCAAAACTAGTGAGTATGTCATTTTGATAAGAAAATGGAATAAATTATAGAAATGTGCAAAGTGCATTTAAAGGTTAAATCCTTTTTGCACTAAGGTGACAATATCTGTACATGATAATTAAATATAAATAAATTATGATCTACATACCATAGTTGGACATTCAATTTTCCCGAAGGGAGTGAGGTTTGACATAACGGGACAAGGAATATATTTTCGAGATTTTAATATCATCAAATGAAGATCTGAACCAATAACTTGTATGCAAAAATACAAATCATTACCTCAACCCGTTTTTTCAAGAATCATAATTTAAATATAATTGCGAAAAAAAACGCAAAAAAAAAGAAAATCGTAAAAACCCCTTTTCTTCGAGTAAGGATTAAAATCGCACAAAAAATTGATTTTCTAGCCAATTTTGAGGATATCATTTCATTATCCTCTACAGCTTTTTTCAATTAAAGTGCTAAATTTGATCTACTTAAAAAATTCAAGTGGTATGCTTTAAGGCAATTTGACCTCAGCCGAGCTCTTTAACGGTTTGTCTCCGTGCTTATGTTTTCCGTTATCCTTATTCAGTATTTAAAAGGTTGGGCGCATTTCCCTTTTCTATCATAATATGACATAAATACAAAATGTACTTTAAAGCATTGGTCAAATACAGCAATCATGCGTATCAAGTGGTATTTCATTTGGATCAGACGGGGTGCATCAAATACCCAAAACATCAAATGACCCGCGTCACGACAAAACCAACATAATGGGTTTGCGACCAGCATGGATCCAGACCATGTTGGTTTTGTCGTGACACGGCTCAAATCATTTTATTACTTGTTGGTGGGATAATGTCAGAAAGCATAAAAAATCATAAAAAATAAACAATGCTTTAGTTCCATCAGTCTCCTTTAATAATAACTTACATGTCAATTTTTTACGGCAGTAATTATTGCCCCATGCCAGTTTCATTGTTATCCGTAAATGAATTATTTATTGATTCCAACGACCTTATACCGCGGAACGTTAAGTTAACCAGCAATAAGACATGGCAGCCTACGCGAAGGAATATTGATAAACAATAACATTTGAAAGGGAAAGTAACCGTTTGTTGAAATCAATAGAATGCATTTACGTTTGTAATTAAACTATGAATGCATGTTTTGAAATAGTATTCTTAAGATTAACCTTCATTGAAAGCCAATGTTTTGAAAAGCACTGTATCAATGAGAACGATGACATGTAATAAGGTGTTATAGATAAATATTATGCATATTAGATAAAATTGTATTTACAATTTTTTATTACTTCCAAAACTTAATACAATAAATAATATTGATAAATGTTTTATTCTAAGACATTTTAACAACAGTACTAGTTCATACCTGAATTATGATAAACAAGATCAACAATGAAAAGCGGCGTTCAATGAATGCACCGCACCCCACCCCCACCCCCACCCACACACACGATCCAGCAACTAGAAGCAGTGGCAAGGAGCCCAGAAGGACCCCAAACAAAAACAGGACAGGGCATAAGGCCGAAAGGCCTAAGTCGAAAATAAATGTATCTTTAGTAATAGATAAAAAGGCAGACATTTCACGATGTTAATAATTATGCAAGAACTATTTATTTCACCAGTACGAGAGAATTTGTCATATTTTAAAGTACTGTCATGAAAATGGTTTAAAAAATTCTGACATTTCGTAACAATTTCGTAAACAATTTGATAATGGCCGCGATTAAGGACGACATTGTCGCGTGTAATGTCGCGTGCCACTCCTGCTGATGAAAGATATAACGGTTTGATACAATCATGTATCATATCACCTGCTAAATTATGTTCATCATATGACATTTCATAAAATTAGTTAAAGCTGAGGATTGTGACCACAAAACGTTTTCGCGTTCTGTATTTTTGTATTTTTTTACAAGCAATCAGATTAAAACTTAATATAAGAATTCATCATGCATTCATCGTTAATTCTAATATTAATATTGCATATAAGAAGAAAAAAAATATTGGATGAAAAATGCTACATATAATTGGACAGAACTCACGTCTAAATAATGGATGTTCATATTTATAATTTATAATTGCTAATTTACAATTATTTAAAGAAAGAAAAAAACATTTTCGTTTGCAGTAAGTATAGGTTGCATAACATTGAGGAAGTCTTATTCTCTTATCTTATGTAAGCTATAAAATACACTTTTCTATTATTAAGTTGCAAACATTTATGCACAAATAAAGTATGTAAATAAGACTTTTTTCTAAATATTTATGTAAGATTATTAAGGATAAAACCATTTCGCGATATTGTATGAAACTTTAAAGAGCATTGGTCTAGCGGAAAGACGCTCGCTTTAGACCTAAAATGTGCAAGGTTTGGGTCTTTTTTGAAGAACGCTGCTACTGTCTTTGGGCATTAAAATTAGTCTTCATAGTTTAACTTCGCAAAAAAATAAACAATAAATAGCAAAAATGATATGATAACATAGTGCTTTCGTGGCGCTATATAACGTGACAAAGAAACGCAACGCAAGTATGCCGATGGATAGAGCTATCCGTAGCCCGTTGACCGGGAAAGAAACTGCAAATTTGTTGAACGTACCACATATACTCGTATGTACAACCAGTTGCATTTATTCTTTCTTTGGACTGCAGTTTCTCATAACATACATCATAGTCGTGCATAATGTGAACCAAAAGGATATTGATAGAAACCTTTACATTAAAAAAGCATAACCATATTAAGAGCTTTACATAAAATTTGAAATTCTTGCTTAAATCAAGAGAAGCATTTGAAATGGAAAAAACTCGAGGTAATAAAGAAATATAGTCAGAATTTTGTCGAATAACGGCTTTTATTAGCCCGTTTCAGTAAAAAGTGTTGCAACTAAAATTAATCATTCTGGAAAAAAACGAGGTGAGGGAATGATTTGAAAATTGGCACACAAGTTATTAGTCCAGACCATCATCATATTGTATACAAATCTCGGACAAATATTCTCAGTCCCGTCATCTCAAAGGATCCCTTTAATATCTTTTTGTAAAATTGTGATACTTGTAACAATGGCTGGTAAAAGCAAAGTTTTCTTCCCACAACGTGTGTGCATGTAAGAAAGTTTAACTTAGATAAAATTCTTATTAGTGGCATAACCTCAGGCTAATATGTCAACCATTTTCTCACAATAGATGGAAATCTTTATTACGTCTACACAAGTTTTAATTAACCTAATATTCTTTAATACTTTGAGAATCACGTAGGGCTTTGATTGCTTAATTACTTTTTTGTTCTTAAATGCAATGAAAAAAACTTTTTACATGAAACAACAATATTTTTCTCAATTAACGTATAACAATCAAAAGGTATTTAAACCGACACATATTTGATAAGTAACCTTTTATGCTGAAATCCTCAGCACTTGATTCGTTTTTAATTAGGTAAAACAGGAAAAGGTTCGTATTTAATAAATACCAGTCTACAAAGAGGATAGTGTAATTCAGTTTTAATCAATTGCCTATAACTATATAGTATTCAAAGCTGCAAGTAGCCTACAAAGGTTTCTGAATATAAATCAGAATGTTTCTCCCGACTAGTTTTCAGGCTCCATGATTTATAACATAGTTCATAGCAGCGTGTCATATCCTCCAACATTGTCCATTAATATCCGCGCATAGATTCATATAAAACATTTTTTTATTGGAAATAATTTGCATATAACAGTGTTTCTAATACCCTTGAACAAAAATCGATGTTTCTGAAGAACATAGAAATTTATGGCAGCTGTGCATTTTTATTAAGATAATGAATTGCAGTATTGTCTATTTGAGATTATATTATACACTTTTTGTATGATGATAAGGCAAATATCAAAATCTATGGACCTGGTTACTTTGATATTAACCGAGACGAATGAATTGCGGCAATGATTCTTTCTTCCTTCAATTGCACTTAATATGTACTTAGAATTAACTCTTTAAACATAACATGTGCTATGTCAGTTCTTGGCAATGAATTCTTGAAATTCTTATTTGAAATTTTATGAGAATTTAAATATTATCTATAACATTAAAAATAAAGAAACGTTTGGTTTGCATAAATGTAAAAATATTTCGTATTTCAATAAAAATATCAAATTATCTACAACAAAAATATCAAGATACAAAGTATACAATATGAACAAGTCAGAATGGTAACCATGATAAACTTTGAGTGGTTTTCTCCCCACACCTAAGTGCCAGAACGTGTGGAAACAATTTATATAATTAGCACACTCCGTTTCTCAAATATAATCATTAAAATTTGTCCAAAATCATCCAAAAATAAAACCATTTAAACACTTTAAACTTTAAGTACTGAATACGATTTTCAATTTGTTTCTGGGTATATTTCTATATTATCTGTTAACCATTTTCCCGTTTTTAGTGCCCCGGTGGATTATTTCAAATTTTATCATTTATAGGCTTTTGAACCTCAGTGTATAGCCCCATTAAGATTTGAGAACTGTTGAGATAATAACCCTTTGACGACTATTCCAAGTTTCATATTTTATCATTTATTCGATAGAAATTCCCATGATTTCTTGTTTATAAAAAAATCAAATGGTTAGTATGACAGGTATATGACAATTCTATGATTGAAATATCTAATTGGCTACATACTCGTTTAGGATCTGTGTCAAAGTCATCCATTTCATTATTCCATATTATACCAGTTGCATTTGAAACAATCATGGAGCCAAAACTGAAACATTGAAACAATGCAAATTGATTTATCATAACTCATTTACGCAGGAAATTGTTCATTTTTCATACGATAAATAACATTTTCGTAATGGAAATGTCATTCGCTTATCTTATTAAGTGTTAAAAGTAACGTTTGGAAAAACGCGCAATGTACAATTTACGAGTTGAATGCAAATTAAAGAGAAGACAAATAACATGTTTGTGACAAAAAAATGGCAATTATGTTATTGTTTAAACTAATGATTTGTGTGTCTGTCCGTGTGTCTGTCCGCACTCACAGGAGAGTAATTATGTGGCTAGAGGGACAATAGGTAACTGTTCTTTCTCTTTGATGTCATTCATTCCGTAATGCTTTTATGTGGCTATTTTCTTTTGCGTGGCTAAAAAGAACAATAGAGAGAACAATAGAGTAGCCACATAATTACTCTCCTGTTAGAACGTCCGTCCGTCACAAAAGCTTGTCCGGACTACTCCTCATAAACTACTGGTGCAATTTCATCCAAACTTTACAGAAATGATCAGTACCAAGTCTCGTTGTGCATATTGTCAGCATTTTCCGGTTCAATGATTTTTGTCAGAGTTATGGCCCCTTAATAATTTTTATTTTTAAACTTTGTCCGGACTACTTCTCTAATACCACTAATGCAATTTCAATGAAACTTTACACGATTGATCTGTAGCTCAAGTCCTTGCGCATATTACATGTTTGTGACAAAAAAAATGGCAATAATGTTATTGTTTAAACTAATGATTTGTACTCAGTCAAAAAGAAAACACTTCTTTTTGTCTGTCCGTGTGTCTGTCCGTGTGTCTGTCCGTCCGTCACAAAAGCTTGTCCGGACTACTCCTCATAAACTACTGGTGCAATTTTATCCAAACTTTACTGGAATGATCAGTACCAAGTCTAGTTGTGCACTGTCCGTCTGTCTGTCCGTCTGTCACAAAACTTGTCCCAACATGAGATTGGCCATCATGAGGCGACACATGTGATCACTGATCGGTCTTGTTTAACTATAAATCATTAAATACTTACTACCAATTAACAGTCGATGTTACTGAAACTGCATCACCATACGGACTAAGTACGGAAACCTGCGAAGTGCCCATTTTATCTCCGTAACTTCCGGTAGCGTCTGTGTAATAGGGTATTTCATGAGTTTCTGCTGTAATTTTTGTACGTAATATATCTGCATATTCTTCGGAACGCATTTTGTCTAAAATCTAAAAATAGTCAAGTCGAAAGTGTTATTATGCCCATACAAGTGTAAATGGTGAGTGGATAATTATGTAAAAGTCAAAATTACTTTACACTTTGCTTCAATTGTGTTCAAATAATATTTGAGCCGCGCCATGACAAAACAAAAATAATTGGTTTGCGACCAGCATGGATCCAGACCAGCCTGCGCATCCGCGCAGTCAGTCTGATCAGGATCCATGCTGGTCGCTTACAAGCCCTATTACAAGTAGAGAAACTGATAGCGAACAGCATGGATCCTGATAAGACTGCGTGGATGCGCAGGCTGGTCTGGATCCATGCTGGTCGCAAACCCATTATGTTGGTTTTGTCATGACGCGGCTCATTTTACTAAGAAAAAACTATATCCGAGTAACATACAATCATGTCCATAAATATATTTCAGAAATTATCGGTAACGTTCAATTTTTAAAGAGAGTGGGGCACATTTTTATAACTTAGATTAGATTTTATATTTTGTCCTAAATATTATATATAAATTATTGATTATTTACAATTTCAATCTCTTGAAATATATTACTAATAAAATATAATTCAACCCAACTTCACATCAAAAACGAAAAGAAAAAAGAAAACGTTCGCAAAACGTCACATTCATCATTATTTTCTAAAAAATTAAAAGATTCATTTGATCATATTTTCCACAAATCTAAAAAAGCTTAGCTTAATATTAATAAATCAATAATAAATGATGATAATTTCAAACATGTTGAAATTGCTCTGTGTATGATTTCTAGACAACGTCATACTTCATATCACAGCAGATAGTTCACTGAAAGAGCAAGGTCAAACATCAAAGGCTAAAATAAAATAAATCACAATAAACTATTTTAAGAAGAGTCTTTTCTTTATATTCAGTCACTACAAAGAAATGTATCCCACGTATCATATACATACATGACATTGTTTTAAATAGCAACATCATAAAACATGTCGATAATTTGAAGTTATATTTTAACAGAGCTTTCCATCTACAAATGCATTCTAGTAAATAAAGATAAAGACCAATTCAAATAAAGCATACATATGAATATAAAATTAAGATATCATTTACGTACAGTGCTGTGAGTTAATGTTGGCAACTCAACTGACAAATGAAATCATCTACACAATATCAAATTATTATGAAATGGTTAGTCATATTAACATATTTTTCGATATTTTAGAGACAGTATTTGATAAGCATCACAACATCCAGAGATCACAGCAGGTGTGCAATACTATAGTATTCATTTACACGTGTGTAATGTTTATTGTTTTCTAAAACCTTTATATATCGCATCTTAAGTGAAATTCATCCTCAACCTCTCCATTTTCACATATTTGACACCGACTTTTTTCTCTGTTTTTTCTTACCATATTGCATTATTTTCAGGCAGAGGTTAATTGCAGACATTCTAGTGATCGTAGTGATATATCAAATCCCAAGAAGGTTCGTATAAAAAATGTTTTAACATGTGTATATGCTGTTTGTCAATATTTGAGCCTAGAAAATTTTTCCAAATCTTCAAAGAAAATTGACAACAGCTGAGTCGAACACCGACTGCTGCTTCAATACGATAACCGATCGCTTCAATATTAACTTTATCGTATACAACCTTCCACAACTCATTGCCCGAAACATTTATTTTTTGCCATTAAACATTTTGTACCATTAAGCATTTCGTTTCTTTATATTAAGCTGATTAAACATTTACTTATGAACACAGCGTTCACACGAAAGTAGTTTCAAAGTACGTTTTTCTAATGTAAAGAAACGGTTTAATCTCAAACTGATATGATCTATTTTTATTTTATTTTTTATTTTTTCTTTGTTTTTTTTTAAATTTAGTTTTATAGTTATCACTATATTTTTTTATGTGATTGAATTACCTACAATTAATTTAAACCAGAAAGGTACTCTCTGAAGAGTGCTAATAGTTTGAATGAGAATTAATTTCCCTGCGCCACCTGAGATTACTTTTTTAAACATGATAGCATTTATTTTATATGTATACTCTAGTTGTTCCGATGTCATAGTTTAGATAAGGCACTTGATTTTTTACAAAGCTTTAATAACATACTGCAGTATGGGAATTAAAATCAATACTATTCACATCAGGTAGACAATTCTTAATGAGAATTCTTAAATGTTGTACATACTAACTAATCCAACATTTTTACTATATTTAAAGATATACATAGCTCAAATTTGATATAAGAAAACAGTGATAATTGCTACACAGTCTCTGTGTAAACAAAAAAGAAACATGGTTTGACTTCAAACAAAGTAGATGAAATTCTACACACTAAATGATGGTCACAGAAATCATAATAATCGACAATAATGTTTCCCTACATACCCATGTGGTATTATCGAAATCTGGGTCACCGAGACGCATTCGATCAGCGTCAGAAAACTTCATAGCTTCTATCATTCTATGGTAGAAATCGACCTGTCCCTCTAAAGTGTCCATGTCCATCCAGTCATATCCTGTTGAAACATGACATTAAAAACTTGTATTACATAATAAAGCGTCCATTTACATGTACATGGACAAAATATGTCGGAGATACATTTAGTAATTCAAACTTTAAAGCAATATGCCTCCAGATTGATGCTAAATACTATGAATTTTGAAAATGTGTTCAGAAGTTAAATATGATAGAGTGCACGAAAAAAAAGATATTGACACATTCCAAACAACAGTTACGATCTACGTAAATTACCAAGAAGGAGGTCAGAACAAACAAACACAACCCTCACTGAGACATGCATTTGAAATACAATGATGATAAATACCACAAAACAAGTCACCAATAGCACATAACATGTAAATCATTAATTGGGACTGAATCATTTAACTTTTCTTTAAATCATATTACATTTTTCTCAAGGTTGATTTTCGAAAAAGATTTTCGATCATCTTTAGGCATGCGGAAGGTCGGTGGGTCTACTCAGGTACTTCCAATGCCTGCAACAATGCACGGCGGGGCATTTAAGATCATTATTCACTGGAAAGTCGCCTTATGATATTCTTAGAATTAGTGACCAAAGAAGACAAATATAATATCGAAATGAATAGTCAATCATGTAAAACTTCTTACGCTTCAAAATGTTCATTATGAGTCCAACGATAGGTCCACCAGTTGCCCCATTCATTGTATAAATTGTACTGTTCTCTAGGTAAACTTCTAATGCGTTTCCAGTCCTCACTTTGTAATCCAAAATGAAATCGGAAATATCCAACATACCACCTACCAGATCAAATACAAATACATCGTATATCAAATGATAAAAATCCTTACGTTTCGTGTCGAACCTTTCTAAAATTATACAACGTAATTCTGGTTTCTCTTAAAATGCCATCTTCCTGTTGTGTATGAAATTACAAATTATTTATAACATTTAACTTTGTCTTTTCTTCAATCACAGTATATTTCAAAACATGATACATGACTTTGCATGTAGTTTTTGCAAAGAAATTGTGAATAGTTTCCGTTATGTTATGAAATTAGTTATGCAAGTGTTAGTCTTAACATCAATTAGTAATGTGCACGAATTTCATAAACATAATACTTGTATGTATTTTGAAGAAAAGATTGGAAATGGGGATCCTTCGGGCGAAACAAAACGTTGAAAATTGCAGACACGGCTTAACTGAGACCCTTATTAGAGATAATGATGGAATATCCGAAACTTACGTCTTTGGATTATTTCGGACTACAAATTTGGAAATGTTTTGTCATCTTTGACTTATTTTCAATAAATTGAATAGTTTCAAAAGAAAATTCATTTAACTTTACAACATTGTGCTTCTCATTTATATACATTTTATATCTTGGCTTTAATTGTTTATTTTCTTATTTTATATTTTAACGGATTGGCGTAAAAACTTCAATTTACCATCTGTGTTTCTTTGCACCTACCCTCACTTTTAATTTCATCAACTATCATATTCGTCATGGGACTATCATATATATAATCAATGCCTTCAATAGCAATAGCCTGTAGTGTATCAGCAAGTTTGGGCCACATGATGGTGTCGCCAGCTTTCTTTATTTCCCCGGTGCCAGTGTTGTTACAAAATATTGCGCTGAAAATAATAATATAAAAAAAACGTTAGATACGCAATAAATAAAAATATGGTAAAAAAATTCTGGATAAAAAGTGTTCCAACGGAATTTTAATCACAACAAAATTACATGAAAAATGCAGACTCGGTTTGATTGAGTCTGTACATGAGGGAATAAGAAAATAATTAACATTCCTCACGCCCCTAGCACCGACTTGAGCGGTACAATTTTAACATTTAAAAGAGCTGGGATTCTCATTCTACTAAGGTAAACAATAATGTGAATACATTGTCTTTTTAAACATTTATGTACTTAGATGACAGCGAAAAAAACACGTGCACGCCATCAAAAATAAGTGAAATAAAGTTAAATTAGATATTATTAAAGAAATCCATCAATGTTTACATATAAATTCTTTGGGCTATAAGAAACACTTACCACAGACCCGGAAATTTAGTCATATTGAATTTCCTTGTATTTGCTAGGTAATCTAACGCTGAAGCTGTTGCATCTGACAATGGGAAACCATTTCGTATCATTTGTATAGTTGGTTCAAAAAGATCCTTCCATGGCAACCGACCATATCGGGTGTGAGCTTCTTTGTAAGCCTTCAGTTCCCCGGGCACGGCGATTCTCCGAGCATTGACTGTACATATTGCAATAATTCATTATTAAAGAAATAAACAAATCTATATTAAACATTCTTTTCTGATTTTTAAGAAAGAACAAACTTTACTTAACCCATAACAGGGAATGCAGCTTCTTATACATAGTTTTAATATTATTTTTTTATTATTCAAATTAAACATGTTCAGTAAGAATTTCATAGATTTCAATAAATTTCTGCGATAAAATTATGTTACTCAAAGATAAGCATAGTATATCTTTAAAGAAATATGTAATTTTGGTTAAAATATTAAATATAATTATGCTTCCTTTTATTTAAAGACTATAAATCAATTTTACAAAAAAGATAAACATCGTGATTATAAATATATTAAAATCTGCAAATTCTTAAAATCGTATATACGAGTTATAACAAATGTAAGATATTCTGTCAACATTTAAATTATTTCTTGCCGTAAATAATGATTATGACAAACACATCAGAATTGTAAAATGAATATACGAGTAGATATTCAATTTCAAAGCGATTTTTTACTGAAACTAAATAAATTATTGCACAAACATGAGATCACATATCATTATAACACATTGAGGAATAAATATATCACTGAATCTGTATATTTTCGAATTTGTGTTAAAGAAAATAATAATAATCTAATGAAACTAATTTTCCTTAATATGCAAAAAAACAAACATAAAATTTGAAATGTTGCCTACTGATTAAGTAGGACAGAACGTAAGATGTGAGATTTAACTAGAAAAAAAACCACAATGTCTAGATATTTATTTTTAGTTGAGGAAACTCATTTAAAAAAGTCAGATGTGATTTGAAAGTTAGTCTATCTGTTATATACGACACTAAACTAAATTAGAAATATTCAACATGATTTGTTAATGTACATAAAATATGAACGTATGGATAAATGAAATAACAGTGGCACAGTTAACAAGACACTCTGAAATAGCTAGCAAAGGTAAAAGGAATAAAAATACGTGCATACAAATAGAGTTGACAGGATTTTAACCTCACACGTCTACTGGTGTTCTGTATAGTAAGACAAACATATTTAATAAAGCTCACTTATTAACCATGTACACGCTCTAAACAAAAATGTCTTATTATTCAGCTAGGATGTTCATGTGTTTTTATACTTTTTTCTGGCAGGTGAATTATTTCGAGTATTAACAAGCATTCCCTTAGCAATTCTGACCATGACTGTGTGTCCACACTTTCATCAGTAGAATTTACAACAATTAAACCTACGTATACTACGAATTCAAAGCAAACTAACGTAAAGTATATAGAATGAAAAACATATAGTATGAAATTTCATGCAAATACGTATATATCTAACTGACATTCAATAATTAATACAACACATGTTAACTCACTATTTTGACGAGTTAATTGGGTATAAATAGTTTCGGTTAGTGAGGTTGGTGATACAGCTTGGCCATCTATTGTAGCAATTTTTCTGTATTCTTTGTCATAAACGACAAAAATGCATCCTACAAGTTCAAAGACATTTTGTGAATCATTATCCAATTCTTTAAATCATAAACCGTGTAGACATGATGTGACACCATTTTCCATTTATTTAAACAACAAACCGTATAAAAATGATGTGACACCATTTTCCATATTTTTAAAACATAAACCGTATAGAAATGCATTGAAACCATTGCAGAATTCTTTAAATCTTAAACCGTAAAGAAATGCTGTGACACCATTGTCCATATATTTCAAGAGTAAACCGTATAGAAATGATGTGACACAAGTGCCCATATCTTTAAATCATAAACCGTATAGAAATGCTGTGACACCATTGTCCATATCTTTAACACATAAACCGTATAGAAATTTTGTGACACCATTGTCTATATTTTTAAAACATAAACCGTAAAAAAATGCTGTGACACAATGATCCAATTCTTTAAACAATTAACCGTAAAGAAGTCTTGTGACACCATTATTCAATTCTTTAAATCATAATCCGTATCGCAATGCACCAACATCATTGTCCAATTCTTTGAATCATAAACCCTATTGAAATGCTGTAACAACACTGTCAAATTCTTTAAATCATAAACCGTTTCATTGCTAGTCCTCTAAGTTTCAATTTACAATAAAAAGGCACTTTTGGAAAGGTGTTGACATTTTTGGATGATGAAAATGAAATTGGTATTTTTTACCATAACAAATATCAAAAAATATCGGAATTTATCTTAACCGAACTATAATTGGAAATTTTATCATCATTTATCAATCCGATAAATAACAGACAAAATGATATTATATGTTAGTAATGTAAGCAAAATTTCCTAGCATTATAAAAAACAATCAATGATATGGTGTTATCTATAAGGTAACATGCACTACATGGACGAATGTATGTATGTTAAGGACGGCCATGCGCACCTTTAGGCACCCACCCTTATACTCGGTCATGTTTTCATACTCTGATTCCGTCATTAATCTTGGCGATGTTTCCCGTCCATCGATGTACATGGTCTGTTTATCATGCCGATCATAAACAAGCATGAAACAGCCTAGCGAATGTAAAATGGTCGTCTAAATAATCATACGTAGCATAATCAAGATATCATTCATTTTTTTAGACAAAGCTTTATTTTTACCAAACTCTTCTCTCTTTCATATATGCAAATCATTAAATTGAGCAATTATCTTCTTAAATTGTTTTGAATGTTTAGACCTCCACCAATTCATTCTTCTAAGATGGAACAATGCTGGCCATGAATGAGAAATCTTATTTTATCTTTTTTGTCCTGTTTTCAATACAGCATTATTGGTAACATTTACGCTGAACGTTGAATTCTTCCACGCTAGGAAACAATAAAATCCATTTAGGTCCGCAGGGTCTTCAATCATAATACATTTAACTAAATCGATTGACATATTATGAGTTTGCATGGGTTGATGACCGAAATGCCTTACATCACAATAAATGTCTCTTTTTATTTGTCAGGGTAAAATGTATATACGGACGATATTTTTTGTTTGTTTTTCTTTTTTTTTTGGGGGGGGGGGGGGGGGGGGGGGGACGTTGCCTAGTAGAACCACCAACGTTACGTAATCTAGCTGGATAGCTTCCCACACATGAACGAATCCAAGGTCGCGACATGATTCGAACTGAAACGGTCGGGCGGTGGTTTGAGGTCAACGCCCTTATCCACTTGGCCAGACACGCCCCTACGGTAGATATGTTACAATAATCAACTGTAATAAAATGTTTAAAAGGACGCGAAAGTAAGGTTGTTTTTTTCATTAAAAGGTATAAAACTACTTCCTATAAATATAGAAATATTTTATAGAATATACATACGTTTTGTATGTGCTTGCTACTTACAGTTCAATGTATTCGTAGTAAAAAAATTGAATTTCATTCATGCTTAATTATCATACTTTATCAAAAGACGAAATGTATACAATGTTACACATGAAAATAGTTTATGTCGTACATACCTCCGCCAATACCCATGCTGTGTGGTGTTCGAACACCGTTACAAATCAATGTGGCGATTGCAGCATCAACAGCAGTGCCATACCTGGCCAAGATGTCCCTGTGGTATTAAAGAAAAGGTAATTTGTCCGGCAAGTATTAACATGACTGGTAAATGCTTCGATTATAGAAGATAACAGAAATGAATATCCAGAATGAAACGTTCCCTTACAAAACATTCACCTGGTATTTCAAAAGGTTCAGCGACGATTTTGCGCATCTGTTTTAAATGCCCTAAGCTGATATATGTCAGAAATTTAATTGTTTAGTTTTTTTTTAGGATTTTTGGCCTCATTTGAATTGCTTTATTTACCTGCCAATATCCGAACAAGCTTCGTGGTCGGAGACAACAACGCCGACTGGTTCCTTTAAAACTTTTGGTTTTGTCGTCTGCTGCTCTTGCTCCCTATTGAGCCCAACGGCAAGCCCTATTGCAAGACCAATCCCGTACAGGGACAACATCCCTAAAATCACAGCCAGAATAAGAATCCTTTTCTTTGTACATCGACAACATCCTGATGGTTTATGTTCCTTTGTATATGGTTTAACTTGACCACCAAACAACAAACTGCAAAAATCAAATTGTTCAACTATTTCCATGTTTCAAATTTCGTTAGTACAATACCATTGCAAATTGTTTATTTATTTACAGGATTCACATGCGTAATTATAACACCAGAATATTTATTGAACCGAAAATGTGGAAAATAACTAGAAAGAATGTATGTTACCAATCAAAATTTGATTTCAAGAAAATATAAGAACACACACATGACAACTAAAAAAAATGATTGTTATTCGACATCAGCAAAAAAAAACATTATCATTATAATCACGGAGATGAATAAGTTTTGCATCAATATCAAATATAAAACTTTGAAATATGATACTTCTTTGTAAAAGTTTTGATTTATACCGTGTGTTTTTTATTTCTTTCTTAGCCTAACAAATAACGGCTTCTTTTAATGTTTTGATCATGTTATCAATTTAGATAATTACTAATTCAAAAACACGACTTGTAACATTATCTGCTAAAATAATTCGGTATCAATTATATGAAATAGAATACAAAAAAGTCTAAGCACATATTCGGATTAAATCCCATGCTTTTTAAGAACACGCGCACTTACTCCTCATTTTCAGGTACTCTTTCCGGGTCTTTCTTTTCTTCAGACATTTTATGCTAAAAATCTTTGTCGCCGGTCCTAATCCTGCAATAAATGACACTTTATAAAGAAGAGGACAAAATATGATATGTTTACAATTTGCTTAATGTACTTTACGTGATCATACGAGATAACGATCCATTAAGACCATCTCTAGAAGTGTCAATAAGATCCATTAAGACTACCACTAAAAAGTGTCAATAAGAAGGCAAGTTTAGTCTGTAATTCTCACATACAAAGCAATGCTTGACCACTATGGCCTCAGAGACAACATTTTAGATGCTACTTATTCACATTTACTAAAAGTATTATTAATAAGATAAAATCACGATTATGCTAATTAAATATACATTATCGTATAAATACACTCGTAAAACAAGCAATCACATCAAAGTTTAGCTCCTGACTGGTTTTCAATGGTAACTGGAAATGCATGAAATCGTAGGATTTTAATTCCCAGTATATTCCTTACAACCTAAAGTAAAATCTATAAACAATAAAAGTACAATAGAAAACAAGAACATTTTTGACCTGAATAAAAACAAGATAATTAAGTGTAGTCTACATTGGCATCGCCGTTTTTTCTAGATATTCGAAATTAATTTTCCACTACAGCTGGTTCTAATGAACGTTAGAAAGCTGACCTATTCCATTTCTGCACAAATCTTATCAAAATGAGCTTCGTGGGTCGTCTAAATATGATTTTTATGAGAGAATAATGATTCATTTCTTTTTTCTGTGTTTTCATAACCTCTGATCCCTTTTTCAAAGTTCCATTTTGTTTAGTTCTGCCAAATGTTTTATCGTTTAGGGGACAGGCATTCTTTTTAATGGGGATCATACGCCGCTTGCCATGGAATGGCTTCAACGTGTTACATTGAAGGTTCCATGATAACCGCCGTATTAACACATCTGCGGATGTTTCTAAATTCAAAATCTCACCATTATCATGTTTAAATGCTGAATTCTGCTTCAGCCAGTGCAATGGGGCGTTGACGGTAGTTTGTAATTACCACTAACGTTACGGTCTATAAACAGGCACCATCAAACCGGGGATGCAACATTTTCAATTTTGCCGTTCATTATGGTCTTTCTTTTTTTCATTAGGGTTTTTTTCTTTTATTTGAGCGTTTATTAGTGGTTTTTTTCCTTTTATTATATAGTATGTGCCATGTCGTTATATTTTTTGTGTAATGTAGCGTCATTTTAATTGGTGTTGAGCATAATGGTATTTATTGTCCCCCCTCCTCCCTACAAACTATTTATACTTAAAAATAAAACCAGAAAGTGTAAATGAAAAACTAGACTTAGTTAAACTATAGAAAATATAACCTACAGATTTCTTTAACATTTTAAAATTCGGGTTTAAGGGGGACTTTTACATCTTTATATGATAAAAGTATTCAGTTGCGGTTAGATAACTGATTAATTAATTGATAATTAATTGATAAATAAATAACTTGACTAATTAATTAACTAATTAATTAAAAGTATAAATTTTTTCATTGTGTTAACATTTGTCTATTTGAATCAACATTGAGTTATAATTTAAAAACCCAGAGCGTAATCATATCCACTATGGTATCAGATCCGACATTAAACAAGCTACTTATTCACATTAATACATAAGCTTGTAAACTGAATATTCATTATTGTATAAAACACTCTAAAACATGCAATCACATCAAAGTTTAGCTCCTCACTGGTTTTAAAAGATAATTGGAAATGCATGAATTCGTAAGACTTTGACTCCAAGTCTATTTCATAAAAGCTAAAATAAACATATATCAACAATTAAAGTACAATAGAAAACAAGATCTTGTTTGACCTGAATAAAAACAAGATAATCATCTTCTACATTGTTATCTCTTTTTTCTAGATAATTCGAAATTATTTTTTCACTACAGCTGGTTCTAATAAACGTTAGAAAGCTGACCTTTTCAATTTCTGCACAAATCTTATCAAAATGAGCTTCGTGTGCCGTCTTAATATGATTTTTATGAAAGAGAAACGATGCGTTTCTCTTTTTTTTCTGTGTTTTTCCTTATGTAACCTAGTATATGTCATGCCGATTTACGTTTTTTGTAATGTGGCCTCAATTAAATTGGTGTTGAGCATAATAGTAATTACTATCTTCCCCAAACTATTTATACTTGAAATTAAAACCTGAAAGTGTAACTAAATGAAAGCTAGTTAAAACTACAGAAAATAAAAACCTACAGATATATTAACCATCTTAACCTATATGTTACAGGATACAAGTTGCCACAAACATGTTGTTCAAAGGTCGTGATAGATATTTTAACAATTTATTAATTCATTCATTAATTAATCAATCAAAAGTATAGACTGAAGTTTTTCATTGTGTAAAACATTCAACTTTTTGAATCAACGTGGTAATTTATCATTGAAAAGATCATAGTATGTACATTTCCATTTCCTAGACATTTCTATGTACACGAAAATAAATAAAAATGGAATTCCTAAAGAACGTCAAAAACGACAAAATTGAAAATGTTGCAGGCTCGGTTTGATTAAGGCTTTTATGGACGGTACTAGAAAGTGCGAGCTATCTACTACGTTCCTTAGCGCCAGTTTACTCAGAATTCAACATTTTATCATAGTAATGGTGAAATTTTGAACTTAGAAACATCCACAGATGTGCTCTTTAGAGTTTAATTGCAAGGCATCATTTAGGAATATTCTACAAAAATGAAAGACATTCTAACGAATCATGTTTTGATGACTCGTACAAATATGACGACGGAATTAATTAGAGATTCTTTATCTCTGGTAAATGTTCTCGTGGAAATTAGTTTCATGTTACGGCATAGCGTTTCGTCTTATTAGAAATTAAAATACTCAGCTCTTGCTATCACTTGATTGCAAAATAATCGCATCACAGTGATTCGGCATAAAATATATGGATGGTAATAAACGGGGAAAAAACATTCTGTTCGTCGAGATGGAATGATTCTTTAGATTTTCATCTGTAAGAATGATCAATAAATTGAAGAGAAATATTTTTGTTTTTCGAAGCATTTTTAACGGATCTAAACTGGAAAATAATACTTGTCGTATCACAAATTAACAACATCAAAAAACATGAGACGAGCGAAAAAGAATATGATTATCGCGTCTTCTTAGCCCAATAGGGCAGCAAGGCAAGCATCGGTAATCTTGAGGCCTGGAATTGGTGATGGTTTGATCCTCGGAGCGGACAAAAATTTCTCCGTAATAACTGAGTTTAGACACTGCGTCTAATTGTATTTTGTCTCTCGCCGCTGAATGTTTTCTTTGATATAAACTTGTCAAATAATATCAAAACTCTTTACCAAAGTTCGCACAGCATATTCATAACAACGAATGCATGCTATAAAAGTTAGATAAATACGAATCACTGAAGTTCTACAGTTACAAAGTTCCACGACATGGAAACCTCCGGGAATTTTACTTGTCAGAGCATATCTTTTAACCCGGGATTGATTTACAAATTTGATAATGTACAGCTCACAAAATTCTACATAATTCACAAATCTTTTTCGGAAAAAATGTGATAACTTCAAATCTTGTGTTTTTATCTTTCCATTACTAATAAAAGCTCGTCTTTCATTAGAGATGTGATGGAATTGTATATTAATGTTTCAATGTTACACTTCAAAGGATAAATGTACATCTGATTTATGTCAATTATTAAGCAGATGTTTTTTTATTGTGAACTAGTTTATGTTCTATTTTCTAAAAATAAAAATCTACAATAGCATGTATAAATGTATTTACGTGTATTTTGAAAGAAGCATTGTTGAGTGTTTGCGTGCGTGTTCGTTTAATGTGTGCTTGCTACGTGCGTGCATGTGTTCGTGTTTTGTTTTGTTTTGTCAAGATAAAGCTACATTTTATCTTTTTTAACCGGTTGTAAAACTGACAAAATTCACATAATTCACTTCGAGTACAAACCTGTCACTTTTACATGTAACATCAGCATTGCTGATATATCTAACACTGCATTAAATGAAAATAATTATTATATTACGAGCAAAACTGGTTTGTTTCTGCACACATTTTCAAGTGGCGCACGTGTTTTGTCTCCTTATGATTTAGTATTTTATATGTATTCTCTCAGAAGTACAAAGTTAATACATCATTTATTGTTATTGTAATTTACTATTTTAATGGTTGATGAAGGATGTTTAGGTAGGTGAACCTAAGAAACTTCAAATAACAATTATGTTATATTTGTTAACGGTACCGCTGTTAAATGTTTATTTTATATGTTATACAGTCAGTGTTACAAACCAGATAATGATCATTCAGAAAATGCAGTATTTCAGTGTACTAAAAAGTACACGATACAGGGGTTAAACTTTAAAAATACAAACAAAGGCAATTGTACTTCTTTTTAACCAACACATAGAAGAAGCGAAGTTAACATTCTTGAATATCCAATAAATGATGTATATTTGTATGCTGTCTCCTATGATAATGTGTTTTTAATGTTTTATAAATTTTAGGGTTTGAGAATGTACATGATACAGAGGTTTTTCTGGAATATAAAAAAGACGTATGGTATGTCATTATACCAAACAAATAAAAGAAGTGAAGTTAACTATTCTGCATATCCTATAAATTATGTATATTTGTACTATATTGTCTCCTATGATAATGCGGTTTTTAATGTTTTATATATTTTAGTGTTTGAGAATGTAAATGATACAGGGGTTTTGCTGTAACACAAAAAGTCGGATTGTTCTTCTTTATTACCAAAAAAATGGAATATGTGAAGTTAGAAATACCCTGCATCGAAAAGAGTGGTGTTTGTTTAAATCAGTCGTTATTCCGATGTATTTTCTCGCTATGAGTGAGAACAGTCTTTTAAAATTCAAAACAACGCCTTTAATCAGCACTGCAGTACTTTGATAATATGATTTTCAGTATTATAATTTAAAGGCAAATTTACAGTTGTTAAACGATTGATAGATAAAGTGTATAATTCAAATCTTAGAAAAAATCTCAGGCCTAGATAAAGTGTATAATTCAAATTTAAT